ATGAAAAAATAAAAGTAAAATAAGTAGAGTAATTAAAAAAAACTCATGTAAATATGGAAAATACACAGAGAGTCTGGATACTGTATGGTATTTTGCTATCTTTGGATTGTTTGACTGCTGAGGAAATAGTAACAACTACTAAAAGAAATACCTGGCAGATACTGACACTAGCTAACCATAGAGGTCTGTAGGTCTGTACAGCAGGAAAGAATTGACATAACTGGGCAGAATCAGAATATAAGCAGGGACAAACAAGAAATCGCTCTCTTCTCTGCAGAATTGTAGCAGGCAAAGGAGATGCAGGGCAGGCATTCCCAGTAAGCCTAGACCACATGGAAATACTTAGATTGATAGAAATGAGTTAATATTTAAGACAGAACTAGCCAATAAGAAGCTTTAGCTATTGGCCAACAGTTTTATAACAACAAAAAATACCAAACAAACTGTCCTTTTTATTTAGACAAAAATGGGAAAATGTTTTAGAATATTTGTCTTCATTGTAAAGATGTGTCTTTGCCTAAGGCACCTTATGATTGATTAATAAAGAGCTCGTCTAATAGACGAGATTAAGTGAGACTTACAGAAGGAGAGAGAGGGGAGTCTGGGAGGAAGAGAGGCAGAGACATCAGTAAGATGCAGTGCGAGTTTGACGTAAGAGTGGAAGAGAGGTAAAAACTACATGGTGGACTGTAGATTAATAGAAGCAGGTTAATTTGAATTATAAGAGCTAGGTGGAAAGAAGCCCAAGCTAAAGGACAGGCATTCATAATTAATGTTAAGTCTCCATATCATTATTTTGGAGCTGATGGCCCACAAGAAAGACTAGCTACACACCTTTGGAACAAAGTCAACCAAGTTTTAATTTTTTTATATTGGGTGTGTGCATGATGGGAAGGGTATGTGTGAGGTCAGAGGATAACATTGTGGTAGTGTGCTCTCCCTCCACCTTGACATGGTTCCAGGAAGCACACTCAGCTCTTCATGCTTGATGGCTGAGCTATCTCACTGGCCTCTCTATGTAGCCTTGGCTGTCCTGGAACTTAATGTGTAGAGCAGGCTGGCCTTCAAGTCACCGATATCCATCTGCCTCTTCTTCCAGAGTGCTGAATTTAAAGGTATTGACCACCACACCCAGTTTCAAGTTTCAACATTACTTTAAGCTATGTTTCCCTGGTTTTAAGAATCTTCTGAGTTTCACATATTCGTGACTAAGAGTCTTACATGCTTTGGTTTTCTCACTATCAATCTCTTCTTTTACCCATGGCTATGCTCATGACCAAACTCAGGGTCTCAACCAAGGTAGCCAGTGTTGGACCAGAAAGCTATTTCTCCCAGTCCTATGAATCTATCTGTTAACCTTCACTAGTTTAATTTAATGACTTTATTTTAATTTATTAATGAGAGGAACATCTGTGTTTGTGTCTGTATTATGTGCACATATGGGGGTGTGTACAAGTAGTTGCACATGCAAATATAGACTAGATGATATCAGATATCTTCCTCAGTCACTTTCCGCCTAAATATTTTTATTTTATTATTTCCCATGTGGATGTTTTGCCTGCATTTATGTCTATAGATTATATGTAAACAGTGTCTCTGGAGGCCAGAAGAGGGTGTTAGATTCTTTGTAACTGGAATTAGAGCAGATTGTGATCTGCCACGTGGGAGCTAGAAATTGAACCCAGGTCCTTTTTAAAGAGCAGCCAATCCTCAGGCCCCACATCCACTTTACTTTTTGAGACAGGGTCTGTCAATGAACTCAGAGCTCACCAATTCAACTGGCCTGGTTGGCCAGCAATCTCCAAGCATTTGCTATCTCTGCCTTTCCCCATGCCTGGTTCCTTGTGCTAGAATTACAGAAGTATGTGACTCTCTATGTCTTTTACATGGTTGATAGGGTTCTAAATGCAGAGCCTCTTGTTTGTGTGGCAAGAAGTTTATGAACTGAATCATTTCCTAGCTTGTTCAAGTTCTTAAATTTGTATTTTACAACATATATAACTTCTTTTTGAGAAGTCAGTTCACTTCATATTCCTTTTTATAATTTAAAATCATTTAACATTTAAATTTATGTCTACTTTAATGAAATCTTTGCCTCGCCTTTACTATCCCTATGTGTGGGAAGCGTATGCTTCATGTCCAAATAAATGTGTTCATGTAATGTTTTTAAAGTAAAAGAAGTAAGGTGTGTGTGTGTGTGTGTGTGTGTGTGTGTGTGTGTGTGTTTGTGTGTGTGTGTGTTTCCTATTACTTTGAGAGAGAAAAACTCCCTGGTTATGGATTGAATTGAACTGTAATTTTTTTCCTCTCAAACTGTGAAGCACTACTCCATTATCTTTCTAGTTCCTTTACTAGTATCATAATGCCTGGAAAATTATAGCATACTTATTTTGTTCTGGAGGTTCAATGCTTTCTCCATGGTATTTCCAATTTTTATTGCAGTATTTAATTTTTTGTATGTGGTCCCTAGAAAGGTACTGTGCTCCTTAAACTTCCTGCATTCTATCATAGGTCATTTTCAGAGTTGTGTTTTTACACTGAATACTGAATGCAGAAATCTTTTGTAGGGTCTATAGAGAGTTCTCTGAAGTTCTGTTATTTGACTGTTTTTGTCTTCTTAATTGTCTGTCAAATTTGTGAGCCTTTTAGCATTACATCATCAGCTCTAAGTGCACTTAGTGACCCAAAGTTGACCAAAACACCTTTTCTCAAAAAGTTGTCAAACATGAATCTAAAATTCTTGGCAGTATATTTATATACTCTTGCCTAGAGATTTCCTTTTTGATATTTTCTCTATTCCTTTCATTTCAAGCCTATCAGAGAACTTCCTATAGCTCCATGAAGTATCTGGACCAGATACACATCCCAGGACCTGATGGAGCAGGCACTGAAATTCACATCCATAGACCATGGATAGAAAGTCTCTGCTTCCCATCACAAAGCCCCCCACCCCTGCCCAACCAAGCTTTTGCCAGGCAGCAAGTTAAAAAAAGAAAAGCAGAGCCCTCCAACAACATTCCTAGTGTGTGCATAATCCCAGAACTGAGAAAGCCACACCAAAATGAACAGTTTCAAACCCTAAAGCCTAGTGGCTTTGCTAAGGACCCTTTCCAACATTCATATGTGTTTGGTACACCTAAAGGAGACACCTGCAGCTAAAGTGACACATACTACAACATGCTGCTTCAGCAACTGAGCTGCCTGATTTTTATGTCAACTTGATATAAGCTAGAATCATTCAGTAAGAAGGAACCTCAGTTGAGAAAAATACCTCCATAAGACTGGGCTATAGGTAAGTCTGTGGGGCATTTTCTTAATTAGTGATTGATCCAGGAGGACCCAGCCCATTGTGGGTGGGCTACTTGTGGGCTGGTGATCCTTGGTGTTATAAGGGGTAGACTGAGCAAGCCATGAGGAGAAAGCCAGTAAGCAGCATCCTCCACAGCTTCTGCATCAGCTCCTGCATCCAGGTCTTGCCCTGTTTGAGTTCCTGCTTTCACTTCCTTCAGTGATGCGTTGTGATAAAGGTGTGTCCTCCCCAAGTTGCTTTTCATCATTGTGTTTCATCACAGCAACAGGAACTCTATTAATATAGTCTAAATATACTTACTACAAGGAGCTGATAATTAAAATGTACTCATCTTCATATGGTAAAATATGTTTACCAGTAAAATATACCAATTAAACATATGATACAAATATATATTAGATATAACAAATCAAATGAGAATAATAGATAAAAGCTTTTAGTACTTACATAATTTTTTTTTAAAAATTTCAAAAATTTTAAGTTTTCTTTTAAAATTTGAGACTTTCATTTGTATACAACAATCATGTATATACAAAAATTACATATTCTTTCAATAAAAGAATCAAAATATGCATATCAGTATACACTAAAATCCATATTATATGGGCATTATGTATACATAAAAATTTAAATGCCAAGTTTTTCTTATATAATGAAAAGCTATTGTATTTTATATATAAATCACAAATGGAGATTATACATGAAATATAAAATAAATTAAAATAATTTACATAAAATTAGTTTATTAGACCTAGAAAAAACAACATGAATAGACATGAATAAAAAAAATATATTGGGCCTGGTGGTGATGGTGCACACCTTTAATCCTAGCACTAAGGAGGCGGAGGCAGGCGGATCTCTGTGAATTGGAGGTCAGCCTGGTCTACAAAGCTACACAAGAGAAACCCTGTCTCAAAAAACCAAAAACAAAAAATTAAATTGGACATCACCTGTAATATTTTAGTCTGTACACACAGTGTTAACAATGTGGGTTCTTCATAATGCTTAGATGTTTGTAATAATTGCCTTGATTCCTTTGCAAAGGTCTAATTTTCTCACAAAAACTTAACCTTCAAGAGCTGGAAACAATTTATCTCCTCTTGAGTTGCCCAGTGGCAGAATGTGCTATGACTGATCAATAAAACAGCATTTATGGAACATTCAGAAGCACAGCCAACGTGTGGTGGCCTTTTCTGGCATTTTTGCCATTACCACACTTGATGAAGGGGCTTTTGAACATTTAAATGATCATTCTGGCTTCAAAGGTGAAACAAGGACTCAAATCCCTTTTCATTCTCAGTCTCTGGCCCAGCTTTATTCCTCCTTTTGACAAAGCGTTCTTTTTTCTTGAGATGCAGGGGTGAGGGGGTCTCACTATATAGTTCTGGATGGCCTGGAACCTGCCATGTGGATAGGCAGGCCTGGAACTCATAACTCTGCCCAATCCTTCTTTTTAATTACATATACTCATGTGAGCCTGTGTGTGGGTATCTACATGTGAGTTCAGTTCTTATGGAGACAGTCTGATTCCTAACAGGCTGTTGTGAGCCACCTGTGTGTGTGGTGGGACCAGAACTCGGGTCCTCTGAAAAGGCAGTGTGTGCTTTAACTGCTGAGACATTCTCTAGCCCTTGAGGACAAAGCTTTCAGAAGTGAGATGCTTCTGTAGATGAATGCATGCATGTCTTACCTGCTCTTTCATCTCAGCATAGACCTTCTCAGAGTTCACTTCCACTTGCCGCTTAAACTCCTCCAGGGCAGCATCTGCCTGCTGGGCCTGCGACCTCTGAACCTCAGTCACACGGCTGAGCTGCTCCTCCTTCTCCCTACAAAGTTCATAAAGCTCCAGAGTTACATGGGGAAGGATGAAGAAGTGGCTAGAGTGGGAAAGGGGAAATTCTGTAACTGTATCTTAATTTCAAAGTTTTAAAAAATTAAAATGAAAAGAACCAGGCTTCAATAAAAGAACAAAATTAGCCCTCTCTAAAACAAAATTCAGATTGTACTTTTTGATCCATATTCTATGAAACTTCTCTTTCAGAATATGACAATTGAGCAATCTGTATGGGGTGGGAGGTCATAAACATACAATATGTATTTTGATGATGACATAACTACATTCAAAGATTCCCCTAATAACAAACTATACAAAACTGTATCTCCACCAACTGGGGGGATAGACAAAATATGGTATATCTATACAATGGAATATTACTTAAGTAGGAACATTTTTTATATATAGCACAAAATGGAGACTATGTATACAAAATCTTTAAAATATTAAGGCAAATAAAGTCAGTCATGAAAAAAAATCACATATGATCCCATTTACATAAAAAGTTCAGAACTGAAAAGGCTATATTCAGAAAATGAATTTGTTGTTAGGAACTAAGGGAATGTGGACAGGAGATTGGTTACTTGATGGATATGTGGCTTCCTTTTGAGTCATGAGTATAATATGGAACTGCATAGTGGTAATAGTTACAAATTGATGTTGAGAATCTATCAGATTATTCTTTCTAAACAAGTGAGTGTAATGGCATGTGAATTCTAATGGCTGAAAGACACACACACACACACACACCATCCATTGCCCTGCAGATGGGTACAGAGCCCTAAAACTGCTGTACTAGTTCATCTGCCTGAATCTGACGGCCATCACATCTATTCATACATCACGCTGAACCTGTTCACTCAAGAGATCATTACAAAGCAACAGAACTCTCCACATGCTGATAGAAGGAAAGCATGAAGCCATTAATTTACTAATGCATTCAAGTTCTGACTAGGCCCTCCCTGCATATTAAGCGAAGTATTTGTATATATAATATTTCATTTATCTTCACAATAAGGCCATGCAAGAGCTACTGTCCTTTCTCTTACAGAACAGGAAACCTGGACTTGAACCAGTTCTAAGGTGACCCTTCTCGTGAGAGCTCAAGCCAGGACTCCATAGCCACAGTGGCTCCTAGCATGCCTGCAGGTGACCACCTCACTGTGCTGCTTTCCTGATGAATCTTCCTTCCCTACTGCGTAAATCCATATAAACACACAAAATTGCCTATTCCTACCAGTAACAATGATGGATGCCAGGAGCCAGAACAACTTAACTCATGCAAATCACTATGTGAATTTTATCACAATGGGAGGAAACACCCTTCCCAAACCATTATGCTACTGCCTTTTAAAAGGTGAGCAAATCCAGGTGATGGTGGCACATCACTTGGGAGGCAGAGGCAGATGAACCTCTTTGAGTTCACGAACAACCTGGCCTACAAGAGCTAGTTCCAGGACAGACTCCAAAACCATAGAGAGACATCCCTCTAAGATAGATCATTATAGGTTCTCTTATAAAAACATATATATCAGAACGTCAAACTATCTCCCTGATCTAACCTGGAAACCTTTGCCAAAGCATAAATGGCCAATACACCGATAGGAAAAATGGCAAGTAGCTTCCATTTAAATAGGGTTCCCCAGTCTCTTTAAAACCAGCAACTGTAGATGGGGGTTACTGTTCTTTCCAGACCCCATTACCACCCCACGCTGTGTTTGGGCACAGCACATCTATATCTAAGGAAACCTTTGCATATGGCTTAAATGAACTTACTATCAATCTACATTTCCATGTAAGGACCATCTGTGCCTATTTAGACTTTGGAAACCTTTCCTTCAGGTGTTCATTTTATTTAGTGTGTGTGTGTGTGTGTCTCTGTGTGTGTCTGTGTGTCTGTGTGTGTGTGTGTCTGTATGTTTGTGACCCACACACATGAGCACACATGCTGTTATACATGTGTGCAGGTGCACATGCTTACATGTATGTGGAAGCAGAGGACAGCCTCAGGTATATGCAGGTCAGGCTGGCTGGCCCCAGAGCCTGGGGAGCTTCATTGCTCTGTCTTCCTACTGGGATTACAAGTGTGAGCCTATATTTACTTGCCTGCATATATTTACTTGGACCCCGGTAATAATCACTGCAGTATACACCGTGACAAACCAATGTCTTCCAGTGGAATCCCTCTTCTTTTTTATAATGATAGCCAGCATTTGTATGCTGTGGGGTTTAAGGCTTCCCCATGGCATGTGATACCAAGAATGGGAACAAAGCCATTCTAATCAGGCTGCAGGCCAGATGCTGCTCATAGTCACTGCATTTTACAGCAATGGGGAACAGACTGCTGGAACTTTGGAAACCTTTCCTTCAGGTGTTCATTTTATTTAGTGTGTGTGTGTGTGTGTGTGTGTGTGTGTGTGTGTGTGTGTGTGTGTCTGTATGTGTGTGACCCACACACATGAGCACACATGCTGTTATACATGTGTGCAGGTGCACATGCTTACATGTATGTGGAAGCAGAGGACAGCCTCAGGTATATGCAGCAGGCATGCACTCTGTTTGAGCTGGTATTTCGCTAGTCTGAAATTCATCAAGCAGGTCAGGCTGGCTGGCCCCAGAGCCTGGGGAGCTTCATTGCTCTGTCTTCCTACTGGGATTACAAGTGTGAGCCACCACACTCAGTTTCTCTCCATGGGTTCTGGTGACTGACTCCTGTCCTCATGTCTGCACAATTAGCACTTTACCGACTGTGTCATCATCTCAGCCCCAATGTGTTCATATTTAACAGAAAGAAAACCATCGTTTTGTCTACTATTTTTCCAACACATTTTTAAACAAATATCTTTAGGTTAATATAGTTCTAAGTTGCAATGCCCCAAAATCGGTAATGATTTTTGCCATTCAACCTTAAAAACTCTTAAATTGACCATAACACATCATTATATAAAAGATCAAGCACTCTGATGGGTGCTGGAGCTTTAATTTAGTTTCATGCATCTACACTATAATAATCTGCCCAAGAATCAGAAAGTCTTAAGCTGTATGTGGAATTCTGTTATATATACTGAAAAAATTGACTGTTAAAATATTTGCATGTAGAAACTGCATACAGGAACATTGTAAAGTCATCGAACTGTATAGCCACCACATTCTAAACTTTGGAGACAATTGGATGTTCTCTAGTGGGATGGTCATGAGTGGCAGCAAGAGACTAGTTGTTTCTTCTGTTGGAAGTATGCTCCAGTTGGAAGCAGTTATGGCTGGTAACTGGTGAGCCCATTTCAGTGTTGGGTTAGGCAGGGCAAGGGCTATTGAGCCACTGCTTAGAGATTACAATGGTTAACCTATGTAAGTCTTTATGTGTTGATATACTCTTAAAAACATTTGAGAAATGTTTTAGGTAAAATTTACCAAAGACTTATCTATGTTTGATCAGTCTCTACATAGAAAACAAACAGTACTGGATAATATTTGAAAATGACAAATACTTAATCCTTAGGTTTAAAATTATATACCATTAATTTATCCAAGGGAAATCCATTAATAGTTTGGTAAAAAAATATGTAACCTAAAGCAGAATTATACATTTGGAAAATTATTTTATTATATGTGTAATAATTCACATGAGGTGTTTAAACATTATAAATTTAATAGGGCAAATCTCTTAACATCAGTTCAAAGTGCAACTAGGTTCAACATACAAAATCATGAACTTCAGCCATAATCAATATAGTCTATAGACCAGTTAAAATGGTGAAATAAATTCTGTACATAAAGAGTGTTCTCAATTCACAATTTCTATCTTGATTAGGAACTAGCATTTTAAAAAATATTAAATAGTATACACAAGGAACTAGAGAGATGGCTCAGTGGTTAACAGTGGGTAGTTCTTACAAAAGACCTGGGTTCAATCTCCAGAACAAGGTCAGATGGCTCAAGACTGCCTAAACTCCAGCTCCACAGAGATCCAACACATCTGGCCTCTGTGGGCATCTGCATTCACGTCCATATACCCCTACACACACACACACACACACACACACACACACACACACACACACACACACACACAAATTAAAAATTAAAAATAAGTTTTAAAACGTAGTAAGCATAGGGAGATGTCAGAAATCTGGCATCCACACAGGGTACTCTAATCACACAGTATAAAGCTAATTGTCAAAGAAGGTCTTAGGTCTTAGTGTAGATTGTCTTTATCTTAATTTAAATAAAAATGATCATTTTAATGAGCTCTATTAAACTTACACAAGGTGCTGAAACAGAAGTAACCCTTTAAACCTTTACAGTCAATGGTCTGGTCCTTGAGGTCATAAGAATGCTGTGTCTTTCAACTGTGACCCTTAATAATAGTACATCATACAAGGGGCAAAATAGAAAAAAAAGTGACTTTCAAGATTATTTTTCCAGTGAACTCATGCAGCTGACGATTAATGTATCACTCAAATTCCTTAAAGCTGATTGTATGAAGATAAAGAGGTGGAAAGAAAACTTGCTTTTTAGCTCTGATTTATTTATGAAATTTTCCTCATCTAAGAACATAAAGGATAAAGAAAAAAGAAGCTGCATTCTTACCCAGCCACAACTTAGCTCAGATTAAAGGATGCTCTGAAGTGCATGATTATTTCAAAAGGGCAATAAAATGCAGGGACTAACAGACTACAATTTGGTATTTCTTGAGCTTTATAAGCTAACATTTATATGTGCAGGCCAAGCCTAATTTGGATGTCTTCCTTTGGCACATTTCTGTGGCAGTACTTTTGATAACGATGGCTGTGGTCCAACACATATTTACAAGGCTTCACATTACAGTACACTTCATTTGCTGCCAGCTTGGCATCCCCACTGGAAACTCCAAGAAAAACAAAACAAAACAAAACAAAAAACTTCAAACAAGCCTGGAAAACAGCTCAAAGTCTCTATTCCTTTCCATCTGGGCTTGGAGCACAAGCTTTTCAACGGCAATATCACCTACCT